GTGGGTCCTGTCACTTCAGTTCTGCCAGGGGGGTAGGAAGCTGTAGTTTCGAGTCAGCACTGGGTGTTGTGAGCAGGAGGAGAGGCCCCACCCGAGAGGACTCCTGGTCTTCTGACATCAACAAGGGTCCAAGACAGTGTGTGGGGGCTCAATATGGGATAGTCTGGGGTGCTGTCTCATCACCTCGGGGTCTCGTGAATGTGGGGTGGGCCCCTCACTGAGAAAGTAGGGGGCCCTGCCATCTGAACTCTGGGTCCTGAGACTGTTGGAAGGGGCTTCTCCATACCAGGAGTGGCATCTCGTCACAGTAAAGAGGGACCCGACCTGGGAAAGAGCTGACCTACCTGACAGCCGAGTCCTGTGGACATGGGAAGGGCTCCCACCTGACAGAGTAGGGAGCCTGTCACACTGGCTCTGTCCCCTGTGCGTGTGAAAAACTGTCCCACCAGGGAGAACAGCGCTTCCCCTTCCACTCAGCTGTGGGACCCCTGATTGTAGGAAAGGTTCCCTTCCAGAAAGTGCAGGCGATCCTGTCACATTGGCTCTGGGTGCTGCAACCCTGGGGTCAGGTCACACTGGAGACAGGAGAGGGCAGAAGAAGGCAGCCAACGCTGTGGTCCCAATTATTCAGAATGCAAGTCACACACTAACACCGACTCCAAGGAATTCCAGAGGCAGTAACTCCTGTAAAGAAAGGTCCCCACTTCAGCAACGGGGTTGGGCGAAAGCTACTACCCTCTGACACCTTCTGCCTGTTTCCTCCAGTCCGTATGCCACCCGCCTAGTTTTGTTGCAACAACAAAGTTCACTTTCATCAAATTACAGATGATCTCCAAGCATCCTCAAAACTTTTTAAAACACAGACCATATAATGACATAAAGCAAGTTCCAAGAAATTGCAAAAGACTAAAATTTGTGTGTGTGTGTATGTGTATTTCTTGCTCTCACTGCCATTAATCAAGAAATTAGTAACAACAGATAACTAGAAAATACTTACATTTGCAAATTACTCAATACACGTCTAAATAACCACCCCAAAATAAATCACAATTGGAGTTAGAAAATTATTTGCATGGAATGATAATAAAAATACTGCATACCAAGGCCAGGTCACTCAGGTTCCAAAGATGATCAAAGCTTCAAGATCAGTGGCTTTCACCCTGGCTGGGATACCTCGGTGGATTGAGCATAGGCTGGGAACCAAAGGGTTGCTAGTTCATTCCCAGACAGGGCACATGCCTGGGTTGCAGGCCAGGTCCCCAGTGCGGTCCATGTGAGAGGCAACCACATACTGATGTTACTTCCCCTCTTTCTCCCTCCCCTGCCCTCTCTTTAAAAATAAATTAAAATGTCCAAAAAAAGACCAGTGGTTTTCAACCTAAGGTTGACTTTGCCCTTGAGGGAATATTTGGCACATTGTATGGAGGCCTTTCAGGTTGTCATTAGGGCGGTTAAGGTGGAAGTTACTTTCATGCACTGAATAAAGATAACAATTGCTAATAAGCACCTATGATGTGGAGAAAAATCCCCCAATCTCATAGGAATGAGAAACCCTACTCTATATGGAGCAGGATAAAGAGTCAATTAGAATACAAACAGCATGTGACTTTGCACCCTAGATCTGAAATCACGCCTCTCTCTAGACAGGCAACCTGGAGGCTGAAAGCTAAAGAAAAACCACAAAAAATAATTAATTAATTAATTGATTGATTGATTGATTTTGTACAAAAATGCCAGCCATCTTGCCAAGACTGGGGAGGGATACCCTTGGCTAAGAATACACCCACAAAAGCTCAGAAGCCAAAGAAAATATGACACTTTAAGACACTGAACCACAGTGTGATAAACCATAGCACTGAGGGCCACTGTCCCTTTTCACTGCCCATAAATCACTCTTTAATAATTGTTTCTTAAAATTACTTGGAATCTATCATCTTACTCTTTTACATTCCAGAATTCACCATCTAACATTCTCCACTTTGAAAATGAGGACCTTTGCCGTATTGTGAGTTCCTCAGATAACCTACAAGGGGCACAATTTTACTTACAAAGTACTTCCGATTTCTAGAACACCATTGCTCCAGGTCCTGAACTCATTTACAATGCTAAGAAGCATGTTACTATTTTATTTAATTGTTAATAAACTTATAACTAACACATTTTTAACGCTTCTTGTCTTCACGTTTTATTCCAAGTTTTAATTATTTCTTCATGCTTTATACAGCTAAACTAACATAATTTTATTATTGCATGATATCTTATTTACCTTGACAACTCAAAAATATCAACTTAAAGTTATTATAAATAATACAATTTAGAAAATTGCGTGCTAAATAACCTGCAGAAATAAATTACTCTTTTGTATAGACAAAGGGTAATTTAAAGATATAATCAAGGAAAAGAGCCAATGGTGCACTCCCAAATCCAGTGTCTGATCTAGATGGTGTGCTCATACAAAGTGATCCCAAGGAACTGATCACTGACATTAGGACCTGAGACTCGTACCTTCAAACACTCTTTAAAAAAAATCGACAGTCACTGATATTCCACTGTAATCAACCAGTTTTCCTGCTCACCTGTACTAAGATGTTATTCCCCAAAATTCCCACTAGATGGCAGCAGAGGTGCACGCTTGGGGCACGTATTACTGGCTTGACCTTGGATCCAATACATAAATATAAAATTCATTGTTTTCATAATAAATGGTTTTCATCTCTCAAATAGTAACTGTGTAACACAGCATATTTTTTTACTATGGAAATATTCCTGCTGGAATAGGGCTTTGGATGCAAATCGGACACTTTGGGGTGATCAAGGTGCTATTCAGATAAGGAAGGCAACATGGGCCACTGGATATAATGAGGGTGTGTAGAATTTTTGTTGAGTCACTTTTAATTGCATACATATAGAACCAACCACTTCTCATCCATTCTTTTATATACAAGAAATAATTATAGATAAATTTAAGTAAAGGAGAAAACAAATGACACAATACTCCAAATGACATAAAGGAAAAGCAAGTTTTCCCCTCCACGTTGCCCAGGCCCTGATCCCAGTGCACAGTCCCTGTGTCTCCTCTCAGCACGTCCTCTGCCTGGGTTTTTTTTTTAACATATTTTGTTTTGCAGGATACTTTTCTCACATAATAACATTATTTAGAAGTTATTCTCTGTTTAAAAAAATCCATTAGAACCAGCTTATTAGGTTTTATTTCTTTAATAAAATATCATATATTCTCACCCATTTTTAATGTTCTATAATACTTCATAATGTGAGCAAACCATAATTTAACAGGTTCTCCTCTAATTTTGAACACTTTAAAATTACATCTGTTATTATATGTGTTGGATAAAATATATTAAACATACTTCATTTCATACACAGGAAAGCATAACTAGGGAAAAACTTTAATGCTTTTCTTTTCATTGCAGTTAGTTGTTCGGCTTATGTATTCATTCATTGGTTACTTCTTGTATTTGCCCTGACTGGGCAATGAAGTGACCACCTTGGCATGTAGGCAGGACACTCTAACCAACTGAGCTACCAGGCCACAGCTACTAGGAGAAAATTTTGAAAAGTGGAATTTTCGAATCAGAGGGTGTGAGGATGTTGTTTCTGGATGGCTATTCTCAAAAGAATCGCTGGGAAATCTGCGCCAAAGGACCCTTCCCCAAGTCTTTCAGAGCAAGGGCACTGCACCTGCTTGCTCATCAGCCTCAGAGATGTCAGGAGTCCTCTGGATCCCCATATGGGCCACCACATTATGTTGACCTTAAAAACATAGCATTCAGTTATTTTACCAGCGGATAAGGGGTTTTATTCAGAAACAGTAAAAAAAAATTGCAGTTTAGGACAAGCAAGCTGTAGCAAAAGTCATTGGCAAGATCCATAAGTAAAAGAGAGGAACGTAATGTTTCATAGAGAAAGGAGGAAGGCAGTAGGGATCATTTCAACAGAAAGTGCACTGGAGGAAACTGTCACGGTGACGATGGTTTCTCTCTGGCTGCGTTGCTGAGGAGTCGGTTTCTCCTGGGAGCACACAATACATCTTCATGTTGGGGCCTGTGACAGAATTTTTCCTGTAATTGACCCTGGGTGATGTTATGTGACAGCAACCCCACTTACCCCCAAGTCCACTTTAGTGAGGTTTCCCTTTACTCAATTTCACAGTAATAGTTGGCTTATTTGCCATCCATGGAAATCAAGTTATATTTACGTGCTCAAAACGAGGTAAGGACCAGAAAGGCTCTTCCCAGTAGCCGCTAAACTGACCCTGCTCTGTGGACCCCTGTACTCAAATTTGATGTTATTTTTATGCAAAATACTTGATTTTCCCAGTATTTCTAAATTTATTTAGTTTTGCTTGGCTTTATCTCGTCTTCCTATTTCTGAAATATTTTTACTCCTGAGCTACTTACAACACACCTATTGTTCATAACACCACTTCTTTGCGATGTGAAATTCTCCCAGTGTGTTTTCCAGTATACTTATTATGTCATTTGTTGTAATTAAATATTTCAGCCCTCTGGGACTTATTTTGTGTCTATGAATTGCGTGGTCAGAATTTACTGACTTAAGTTCCCACAGAACGCAATGCAGTCTTGACCGCGTCCTCACTGCTTATGCAGCTCTAGCTGAAAGTGGGTTTGAAAAGGGGGGGCGGGGGAGCGGACGGGCCTAGATGTAAGTTGTGGATCCCGACCACAGTCTGGTGGAACAAAGGCACTTTGTCAGGCGGCAGGAGGTCCACGTTCACCCTAACATCCTCCCCGGCTCGGAATTCCCAGCTCCTGCGGTATGGATTCCCCACCAGCTGCGGGACTCCGGGACTCGGAGCGACAGGCTGCGTGACTAACTAACGCTAGGGAGACCCAGGGTAGCCAATCCCCGCGGGGCGGGGCGGGTCTTCCGCTGGCCAGTCCGGAACCCAGGGGGCTCGGCCCCTCTGCCCCGCCCTTTCAGTGTCTTCTGATCGCCCATTGGCGGGCAGGGTTCTGGGCTCTCAGTAGTGATTGGACTATATTCAGGATGAATCCTCCCCCCCAGGGCGGGAAGCCCCGCAGCTCTACGAGGAGCACCGCGGAGGTGGGCGGTACCGCGGGGGTCCTCCGGAGACTGACCGGTAAGCGGGGAGCCTTGCCGCGTGGAACCCTTAGCCCGAGACCTTCAAAGTCCAGCCTGAGAGACCCCAGATGCCCTCATCCTGAGGGGCCCCAAACCCCTTCAGCATCGAGGGGCCCGCGTCCGCCTACCCGGAGGACCCACATCTCCTGACCCCCAACGCCTAGACCCCCAAACAGCCCGAAAACCCCAGTTCCCCTCGGCTCGGGGCACCCGACCTGCAGCTCGCCCAGAACGACCAAATCTCCCCAAACTCAGAGACCCCAAATGCTGTCGTCCTGGAAACCGACTCAGTGGTGGGGACCCTGAAGCCCCTCCATGGGACGCCCCAAATGTCCTCAGCCGCAGGGTCTGACCCTCCCCCCGGCCTCAGTGTCCTCAGACGGGAAGACGCAGGATCGGGTCTCAGGGACCCCCGAGCCTGTCAGCCTTCCCCGGGAAAAGTGCGTTTCCTGGCGCCCCCACAGGCCCGTTGGGACGATGGGCCCCCAGACACTCGGGCAGCTGCCTGCGGACCCCTGCTGAGGCGGCCACCGAGGGAAGGGCGGGAACAAGGGCGCCCCCGCCGGCGGCGCGGCCTCGCCGCATCAGCCCCTCCTCCCGCAGGGCCCGGCGTCCCCCTCTCCCGGCGCCCCGCCAGCATGGAGAAAGCCATTAGGTCCTCTCAGCGTCTTCTCCTTCCACAGGCTCCTCGGATTTCGGGCGGGACAGCATGAACCCCGACGGGGGTCCGCAGCACAGCCCCGAGGGAGAAGCGGGGCGGACGGGGCAGAAGCCTCAGGTGAGCTGAGGGGCCGGCGAGGAGCGTGGGGACAGGGCTCCGCAGACGCCCGGCCCTCGGGGTGGCCCTGGCTGTGCGGGTGCAGAGCGCTGGTGGGAGAGACGGGACTCCGCGGGGCAGGGCCGGGCAGGGAAGTGGGAGAAGGCCCCGAGGAACAGCGCTCGGGGAGCCAGCACTCGACGGAGACGGGCTCAGTGCTTGCGGCACGGGGACCACCGAGGCCCCGCCTGCTCCCTGCACCCGGGGCCGCGCGCCTTCTCACTCGCATTACTGAGTTACCGATGTTTCCACTCTGTTCTCCAGGCTGAAGAAGCTTTGAAAGACGCTTCCCTCCACTTCTCCAGGGAGGAGTGGGCAGAGGTGGGAGACCGGCAGAAACGCTGGTACCAGAACGTGAGGAGGAACTTGGACGCGCTCCCCAGCCTAGGTAGCTAGTGCGCAGGCGCTGGGCCCAGGGGCCTGATGAACCCCCCAGGCTGCTGGGCCGGCTCCAGCTCAGGCGGCTCCATCCGCCTGCACCTCCCTCTTGCAAGGACCCCGATCAGGGGGGCATTTGATCCTAATGTCAGAGCGGGGCTGGCGCTGACTGGTGCAGCTCTCACAGCAACTCCTTACTGTAGACTCTTCCATCCCATCAGAGCCGATCACAGGAGCTTCCTGGAGCTTGTTCCTCTTCCAGGCTCTGTGCTTCCAGGACAAAGGTGTTCTCTCTTTCCAGGTCTCAGGGCCCCTCGACCAGCTTTCCTGTGTCACCACCCCAGGCAGGCCACCGAGCTCCAGGAGGAGGACCCTGAGGACTCTGATGAAGAATGGACTCCAAGGCAGCAAGGTGAGGGGCAGGAGGAGCCTGAGCTGCCCTCCTGACACGGCCCTGGTTTAGGTCAGGCTGCACCTCAGCAGTTAACCAGGGAATAGGATTTGCTTGTCCAGCGAACAGGCAGGATGCAGAACAGTGTGTGGTACAGTGAGGGGCTATTGCTATAAACTTTCAAGTCTGCAAAATCATGTTATATATTTATAGACACATTAATAACCAGTAAACGTATAAGAACATACAAGTGAATAAGAAATAACTAATTCAGAATAGTCATCTCAAGAGAGGGAGGCAGGTCTGGCAGGCAAGGAGTGTTCGGACACCTGGCCGCCCGATGGCTGCAAGGAGACAGTCAGGAACAGTATTAACCAAGGTGATGACGGTAGCTGGGGGGAGGGGCCAGGGTAGTGAGTAGTTTTATCACTGTATCGTTTTCTGATGTTGGCCGGGGTGCCATTCCATCCTGTATCATGAGTGTTCGGTGGATAGAGTCAGTCCACTTTCATGGGTCTGGGGTTGAAACACAGCTGAAGCCAAGACGTGATCTTTAACTTGACTGGAATTCTGTTTCTGTGATCAGCAGACTGTGGATGCCAACCAGAGTCTAATGATAAGGAAGGGCGTGGATGGCCAGTGTGTGCACAGGGGGGAGGATACCAGAGAAAGGAGGCGAGGGGTTGGTAGGGCCGTTAGCCTGGACAAGGCCAGTTTGAATGAAGACAACAGAGCAGAGAAAGGGTTCTGTTGAAGACATGGAGTTTCTGTGCAGTTACTTTTATTACATTTTTGTCAGGAGGAGCCAATTTATTTTTTGATAAATGATAATAGATGCTTTATGAACATAGGATGAAGTGTAGAAGAAACTTTGTCTATTTTTTTATTCTAATGAAATTACTGGATGGCCCCAATAGAAGCATAGACTTTAATGATACCTCAGAAAACATTCTCCAATCATCCTGGGGTTGTTCTTGAACTACTCATTCAGAATTGTCTCCCTAATAAGAATCTCCAGATTTTGGAAACATTTACCAACCAAAACACTGATTTATCATCATCTTTCAGTGAAACCTTCTCCAGTGACCTTCAGGAGGAAACAGAGTAAACACCAGAAGGTGAGTGTTTCCCAAATCCTGTTGACAAGAAAATTTTCCTCATGGATAGAAATGCAGGTAAGAGTAGGAAAATGCAGAAAGTATCCTAGGAACTGCTGCCTTCTTTCCTGGACTCTTCAACACATTGTTTGATATTACCATCTTTTTTTAGAGATTTTATTTATTGATGTTTTAGAGAGAGGGGAAAGGAGGGAGAAAGTGAGGGGCATAAGCATGTGCGAGACACACCTGTATGGGTTACCACTCACCCACCCCGAGTAGGGACCTGAACCACAACCCAGGCGTGTGCCCTGACAGGAAATGGAACTGGTGACCTTTCACTCTGCAGGCCAGCACTCAATCCACTGAGTCACACCAGCCAGGGCTCATCATCATCTTAATAGTTAACAACTACAGCAACAGTTGTAACTACCATTTGCTTCATTCTCACAATGTTTCAGACTTTAAGAATTCTATGTGAATAAACTCACTCAAACATTACAACACCCCGATGAGGTATGTACTATATAACTGTCACCATTCATGATGAGGGAAGTGAGCTTTCAGAGATACAGAAATGTTTGACTATATGTCTAAGATCACAGTATCAGTGGTAGTGCAATCTAACCCATAGTTGCTTCTCTAAAACACTTAAAAACTCATTAAAACTTTCAGAGTTTTGACCACACCACCATGACCAGTTGCTTTTCGTGCTGCAAAGGGGAAGATCGCCAGTTTGTTCCTGGTCAGGGTGCATGCCTGGGTTGTGGGTCAGTTTCCAGGTTGCAGTGTGTGTGAAAGGCAAGTAAGTGACAATGTTTCTTTCTCCCTCACTTCCCCCTCTCAAGAAAATGAACAAAAATTTTTTTAAATTAGAAGAATAGACTTTCATAGTTTCTAAATTTTACATTGTCTTATCCGTATGTCATTACATCATTCATCTGACTGATGATTTCAACCAAAGTTCTTCTCTGCTATGCTGAAGTGAGAGATGCACTAAGACCCTCTGACTAAGGAAAGTGTATGATGTGTAGGCAGTTGGTGCAGTGCATGGTCCCAGATGAAGAAGAATGTAAAGTGTCCAGGATCACAGCCTCCCACTCTAATAAAGAGCATCTCCCACCCCTGAGGGGCTGCAGGTTTGATGATTGAGAAACAACAAATAATAAAATGACTTAAGGACTTCATATAGGTTGCACACTCTTCTCATCCATCTGGAACTGATTTCAAAGGCCCTTTCTTATACAGGCAAGTGACAGCTTCTTTGTCTGAGTTCCAGTGAGGCCACTCTCATCCTATTTAGCATCATTTGTTCAACCCGCTTCCCTCCCCATTGGAAGGTCTTTGAGAGGCTGGTCCATACCTGAGAGTTCTCAGAAGTCACAGGCACAGATCAGGGCCCCTGAGGGCCCCCGAATGCTTGCTGAATGAATGATTTCACAATTACAAATTAAACTAGAAGATGATCAATGAACACTGAAGGTAATTTCTGTGAGATGTGAAATATGGAGAGAGCTGAGCAGTAAATTAATAGCAGGACTGTAATCTCACATCTGTACTGTATTACACAATTCACAGAAGACTTGGGTGAGCATTATTTAATTGCACATTCACTGTAACATAGAAAATTAGCATGTTAGAGCTCATGAAACTGAACACAACTAGCTACTGCTACAGCCTTACTCAAACAGAACTGGTGGGAACCAGCTCATCTAAATACAAATATTCTTTCTAAGGTACTGCGAATTTTACCACCATTTTATTTACTGTCTAGATATGTTTCTGCCAAATATTTCTTTATTCTCTTCCCAATATCCTTTATTCTCAATATTATACAGACAGTTGAAAGAAAAGAGCCATAAGGCATGAGTTCTAATCTTGGATTCATTACCCACATTGGCCCTATACCCTCTAATATTCATACTCCCTAGACATTTTCAAGGGTTGAAGTGTTAAAGACATGTATGTAAAATGTACCACAAGCCTTAAAAATTAAATACTTGTTATCTTTTAATATGTGACTCTTATATTGAAGGCAACATCGAAGGTGCCATTAAGCAATGAATATAGTTTGAAGGAATTGTCAGGAACAGCAAATTTGATGACTGCAAGTGACTCAGAGCAGGCCCAGAAACCAGTGTTCCCTCCTGGAGAAGCATGTGCCTTTGGAAAGCATACTAGACGAAAATCAGGTAAGAAAAAATAATTTGGAAACTTGAGTTCCTCTAAGTCCTATAGAAGGGCTTGTAAGTACGACCTAGGTATGTGGGGAGGACTTTGGACGGGCCCAGATTTAAGGTGGGCTAAGCTGAGACTGAAGTTAGCAATGGAGCTTTGGGCAAATCCTATAAATTCTCTGAGCTCCCAAATGCTAATCTGTGAAGTGAAGGTAAGGAAACATCACTCATATATATTGTCTGAAAACATTAAATTTAAAACAGTTGACACATGCAACTTGTCCAATAAACCATGTGTGATAACAGCAACCACACTTTATTGGTGTTGTGTGCCCAGGCCTTTACCCAATGCCTAACACATACTGTGCACTCAACAAATATTTTATGAATGATTAAAGGTTGGCAAGTTAAACCTGGTATAGGGAAGATCTAGAAACTAAAATTGAATCCGTTATTTGTAGTTAGTGTGGAGTCTTCATCTTCTGAACCAATAGTTAACAGAGTAAAATACCAGAGTGTGCAAAAGGACAGGTAATAAATTGATGGGAGGAGATTGTGTGTTATCTGACAAAATGGGAACTAACACTATAGATCCCACCAACCTGGCTCACCTGCTCTTCTCCAACTCAGAACTCAGGAGAAAGGAGATGGACGTGAAGATGTACAGCCTACAAGAAAGAAAGGACTGTGTGTACCAAGAGGTCACCGAGCCCCAGGATGATGACTACCTTTGTAAGTGACCCTCACTAAGAAGCAAGTTATGATACAGTAATTCCATCTAGTCCTTTGGTCCCCAAATCATTCCCTTCCTTAGTCACCTGGAGTACAGGACTGAGTCTCAATGATGTCAGTGTCACACTCCCTCTGAAGGTCTTTGTGTCCAGGAACATGTGCTATACCTTCCCTAACCCCTGATGCTCTCGCTTCCAGATTGTGAGAAGTGTCAGAACTTCTTCATCGACAGCTGTGCTGTGCATGGGCCCCCTACATTTGTAAAGGACAGTGCAGTGGACAAGGGGCATCCCCACCGCTCAGCCCTCACCCTGCCCCCTGGGCTGAGAATCGGGCCATCGGGCATCCCTGAGGCTGGGCTTGGAGTGTGGAATGAGGCAGCTGATTTGCCAGTGGGTCTGCACTTTGGCCCTTATGAAGGACACATCACAGAAGATGAAGAGGCAGCCAAGAGCAGATACTCCTGGCTGGTGAGAACTATTTACCTCTTCCACTGTCCTCTGGCTTCCCACATTCCTTCTGAGGCCTGGAGGGACCTCACCTCTTATGTGCTAGACATGGAGGGGACAATGTGGTCAGCTCTGTGTATTGACTGGACTTCACATGTACACAGAGCTCCTGTTGAAGGATCAGAAAGTAAGTGGGAGCAAAGTGGTGCAGACACAAAGGAGCGGCTCCTCCCTTATGGGGCTCCTGCTCTGATTGGACAGGTAAACTCATGTGTAGGTGATGAATTAGAAAAATATCATGTGGTCACAGCTGGCACTTGAATCCCCATGCAGGCTGAATGAGCTTTGATGACCATGGAGTAAAATAATTCTGACTATTACCTTCCCACCAAAAAAATAAAAGGTCTTTACCTTCTTTTGTGAAACTCAGATCGCCAAAGGGAGAAACTGCTATGAGTATGTGGATGGAAAGGACAGATCCTGGGCCAACTGGATGAGGTGAGGTCAACAGGTCTCTGGGTGCCAGAGGGGACTCTCATCCCCCATGAGCCCATAATACTGTCCCTCTCATCATTCCTCCCTCAGTGGTCTCCCTCAGTCCTTTTTTCCCTCTTCTTCTCCATACAGTGTTCTTTCATTTCAGGGGACTTTTAGGGAAAAAGTATAGCACACGTCCTCAAAATATAAAGGTCTCTGCTAGAAACAATATGGGTGCTAGAAAGGACCGTGAAGAGCCCAGATACACCAGGGACGCTGGGTTACACTTTATTATCACATGAACATTAATTAAGCACTTAGTATATTCTAGTTATGGTGAAGGGATACATTCCTTCAGATCACACAACCCATGTCCTTCCGGAGGACCTCTCGCAGACGGGCATAAAACCAACTGCTCTTAGAAACTATTAATTTTCAAGAAGTGCACAGAGTTAAGATAGCACAAACCAAGGGTGGCCTAAACCTGTGAGGGCAGCAAACCATCCCAGCCTCACTCCAAACTAGAGCTGGGGTGAGACCTGCAGAGGAAGGGTCATGGGCCCTTATCCTGAGAGCGGTTCTCTTTTATCCGGGATAACAGAATGTGAATCAACTACTATCTCTCTGTTTTATTTTACTAAGACAAAAAGACCTCCAATTTTCTATAGTAATCTTGAGCAGGCAAGTGAATGGTGCCCTAAATAAAGTGTAGGAGGGTTAGAGAAAGGCCTCTCAAGAGAAAACACATGTGGGCTGAGTGCTGGATAATTAGTGAGCTAATTCAGAAGCAGAGCCCTAGATCAAGCACCAGGTTCTGTGGTGTGAGACAACTTGATTTAGAGGTTGGAGAAGCCAGATATCACTGGACATTATGGCCAGTCATGGTGGAGGCTAAGTCTAGAACTGGGTTCTAGGAAGTGGTATTAGGCAGGATGAACACTGCAAGCAGGACTTGGAGGTAAGAATTCACGTGACATGCTGGCAGACGCTCAGACACTGAACAAAGATTCCCCAGAAGCATTAGGGGCCGTGGGCAACACCAGAGCCTGAGGGCCTTCAGAATCAGTGAGGGGCTGGACATGGATGTAACAGGTAGTGGGAACTCATCACTGTGCTTTTCTTTCCCTTCCTCTGCCTCAATCCCAGGTTTGTGAACTGTGCCCGGGATGATGAAGAGCAGAACCTGGTGGCCTTTCAGTACCATGGGAAGATTTTCTACCGAACCTGCCGTGTCATTAGGCTGGGCCATGAGCTGCTGGTCTGGTGCGGGGACGAGTATGGCCAAGAGCTGGGCAGCAAGTGGGGCAGCAAGTGGAAGAGAGAGCTCATGGCCGGAAGAGGTGGGCACCGCTGTTCTTCAAAACAGAAAGAAAAGAAAGAATTCTCCATAGAAAAATTCATGACCCAACTCTTAAGTGGAGTAAAATCCACTCTAAAGTCAGTCAAGTTTCAAATCAGATGCTTCAGAAATTCACAATGCATTCATATGCCTTTCACTCTTGGGCAAAAAAATTTTATTAAATTTATTTATTTATCTTTAGAGGGGAAGGGAAGGAGAGAGGGAGAGAAATGTCAATGTATGGTGCCCCTTGTGAGTCCCCTGATGGGAACTGGCCTGCAACCCAGGCATGTGCCCTGACTGGGAATCGAGCCATGGTTGCTTGGTTCCCAGGCCCACACTCAATCCACTGAGCTACACCAGCCAGGGCTAGGGCAAAATTTTTATATTTTTTATTTTTTAAATAAATTCATGAACAAAATACACAACCGCATGTAGTGCTGAAAGACTGAGAGGCAAAACAAAAATTCTCAAGCACTAACCAGTTCTCTCACCAAGGCAGTTTTTCTGACACTTTCATAGCTGTTTCTTCTTAATTTTCCTCCATACTTCTAAATAAGACATTTTTGTTTAAAGATTTTGTCCTGGCTGGTGTGGCTCAGAGGATGGAGCACCGGCCTGTGAACTAAAGGGTCACCAGTTTGATTCCCAGCCAGGGCACATGGCTGGGTTTTGGGCCAGGTCCCCAGTACGGGGCATGTGAGAGGCAACCACACATTGATGTTTCTCTCCCTCTCCCTACCTCCCTCCCCCTTTTCTGAAAAGAAATAAATATATAAAATCTTTTTAAACAAGATTCTATTTATTTTTACAGAGAGTGGAAAGAGGGAGAAAGAAAAATCAATATGCAAAGGAAACATTAATCGGTTGTCTATGGCGCACCCCCAACTGGCGCACAACCCTGGCATGTGCCCTGAGACTGGATCGAACTTGTAACCTTTCAGTTTTCAGGCAACACCCAACCCACCAAGCCACACCATTCGGGCAGGGCACATTCGTTCATCATTTCAGTGAATTATCATGAGAGATTGTACTTTGTGGTGCATGGTGTCCTGGGACCTGGAAATACAGGGTAATGTGAGGATCAGAATCACTGCTCTTGAGGAGCTGACAGGTGAAGGAGGGAAACCCAGGCACACGAGCTTGTGTGTGCATGACACGACACAGCGGTTAGTGCTTTGGAGAAAACTAGTGCAGGACAGGTGCCTGGGGATCAGTGTGAGGGGAGGTGCAGTGTGGCAGGTGGTCCGGGAAGGGTTCTCTCAGGAGACAACATTTACAAAAATACCTGCAGGCAGAGGATCCCAGGCAGAGGGAGCAGCTAGTCCAGGGAAGGAAAGAGGTGGGGCGTTGAATTGGCTGAGGGTCACTCAGGTCTCATCTCAGCATAGATGATAAGAATAGAGATCAGACACATGCTTAGCAGCCCAGAGATGCAGTGCCGATGACCTGAGTTGAGACACTGGGGACTTTCCTGAGTGAAAGTGTGCAGTTGTCAGCTGTAGAGTGGTGTGTTCTCTGTTCTGATTATGTTTTGTTAATTTTTAGAAAAGAAACCCCAGTGGGGAATCCCCTCAGGTTACTTCATCTCCACGTGACAGAGCATGGTGGCCTGGCTAGACAGGACCAGGAGTCAGGCGTGTAAGAAATAAATGTAGTTGAAATATTTTGAAACAGGTCTTTGTGTATTTGAAATAGTCTAACACTAAAAGATAAAGCATAAATAAGCATTTGATGTGAGGCTGAGGAAGGACATTTCATTTTACTATTTTGGAAAACAGAGAAGCAATTCCTAGTTGGAGCCTGTAGTTTTCCTCTTTAACATGACTTGGAAAATACCTACAGATGGGAAAGGTCACTGCAGTTCCATCCACACAGGGAGTGAAATGGCCTTTTATTCTCCTCAAAAGCCCCTAGTCTGGGCAATATTAGAAAAGACCCTTGATGTGGGCTTCCTGGATTCCTGAAGAAGATGCACTGCATAAAAACAAAACAGGAAAATAGACGGCGAGTGGACACTGTGGGAGACAGAGGTTGTGTTGTCACCACAGTAAGAAGGACTCACGGGGCAGGTCTTACCAGGAGACTAATCATACAGCCCAGGCATTGTCGTCAGCACCTGCCCTGACCAAACCTTTCTCTTTCAGCAGAACCAAAGCCAGAGGTGCACCCATGTCCCTCCTGCTCTCTGGCCTTCTCCAGTCAGAAACTCCTCAGCCATCATGTGAAACTCAGTCATCCCTCTCAGATTCTCCCAGGAACATCTGCAAGAAGACGCCTCCAAGCAGAGGAACCCTGTCCAGAGGATCAGAATCAGCAGCAGCAACATACTAGTACGCACAGCTGGAATGATACAGCTGAAGGTCAAGAGGTCAAAGAAAGGTCCAAACATTTGCTTAAAAGAATCAGTCAGAGGAGAATCTCAAGACCCTTTCAACCTTCCAAGGAACAAATGAGGAGCTCTAGTGAACAGGAGAGAATGATGGAGGAAGAGCCCCACAGAGGCCAGAAAGATAGTCCAGAGGACACAGGCAAGTTATTCGTGAAAGTAGGAATGTCAAGAATTGTAACGATCAAGTATGGAGGGTGTTGGCAAGGCTTCAGTGATGGGTCACATCTCATCGGAGGCCAGAGGACACACTCTGGGGAGAAGCCCTATGTCTGCAGGGAGTGTGGCAGAGGCTTTACCTGGAAGTCACATCTCATCGCACACAACAGGATACACTCAGGGGAGAAGCCTTATGTTTGCAGGGATTGTGGGAGAGGCTTTATATGCAAATCACATCTCATCACACACCACAGGATACACTCAGGGGAGAAGCCCTATGTTTGTAGGGAGTGTGGGAGAAGCTTTACACAGAGGTCAAATCTCATCAGACACCAGAGGACACACTCAGGGGAGAAGCCCTGTGTTTGCAGGGAGTGTGGGAGAGGCTTTACATGCAAGTCACATCTCATCACACACCACAGGATACACTCAGGGGAGAAACCCTATGTTTGTAGGGAGTGTGGGAGAGGCTTTACATGCAAGTCATATCTCATCAAACACCAGAGGACACACTCAGGGGAGAAGCCCTATGTTTGCAGGGAGTGTGGGAGAGGCTTTACATGCAGGTCACATCTCATTGCACACCACAGGATACACTCAGGGGAGAAGCCCTATGTTTGTAGGGAGTGTGGGAGAGGCTTTACATACAGGTCACATCTCATCACACACCAGAGGACACACTCAGGGGAGAAGCCCTATGTTTGCAGGGAGTGTGGGAGAGGCTTTACATGCAAGTCAGATCTCATCAAACACCAGAGGACACACTCAGGGGAGAAGCCCTATGTCTGCAGGGAGTGTGGGAGAGGTTTTACACAGAGATCAAATCTCATCAGACACCAGAGGACACACTCAGGAGAGAAGCCCTATGTTTGCAGGGAATGTGGGAGAGGCTTTACATGCAAGTCACATCTCATTGGACACCACAGGACACACTCAGGGGAGAAGCCTTATGTTTGCAGGGAGTGTGGGAGAGGCTTTACATGCAAGTCATATCTCATCACACACCACAGGATACACTCAGGGGAGAAGCCTTATGTTTGCAGGGAATGTGGGCGAGGCTTTACACAGAGGTCAAATCTCATTACACACCAGAGGACACACTCTGGGGAGAAGCCCTATGTTTGCAGGGAATGTGAGCGACACTTTACACAGCGGTCAAATCTCATCACACACCAGAGGACACATTCTGGGGAGAAGCCTTATGTTTGCAGGTGACGTGAATGAATCACTACTATTAAATCACATGTCAATAGCCATAAGAAGTGTATGGAACCTTACTCTCCCCTAGATTGTGGTTAGTAGAGAAGTAACTGGTTAAACAAACCCTCCAGTTTCATGGCAAGAGATGAGATGGACAAACAGTTCCATAGTGATATGGGGGTATCAACAACAAACTCCTTCATGGGTTTTTTGTTGTTGGTTTTTTTTACCTGTTCTAAAATGTTTTGTCTCCATACCCATTCCTCATTTTCCCCATCACTGAAAGTAGAGGATTCCTGAAGTGCCACAAAGAACTCATTCTCTCAGCCACAGAAATTCAACTCTTGAAAATGTGTAAATCTGGAGTCAATCTCCTTTCGTTACTCCCCAAAGAGAGGGATTTGAGGCAGACTGGCCAGGGAAGGGGATTCCCCAGACTCCTGGGAAGTGGGGCCTTTTCTCCAATCCGCTCCCTACCCTCCTCCCTTGGCTTCCCTTGGCTCTTCTGGTTTCCTACCACCTCTGAAGCCTCAGAGGTGTGAACAGCAGGGAGAGATGGATGCTTCTGCATGGATGTGAGCCTGGCTCAGTCTGGGCACCTGGTCTTCCTCACTCCTTGCTGCCCCTCAGGGTCAGCATTTCCTGGTGCATAGCACACAGATTCCACATCAGTCCATAGTGGGTGTGAGTCTCAGCTCTGTCTCCTCCAGCTGTGTGACCTAAGGCAAGATTCTCAACTTCTCTCTGCCTGCTTCCTAGTCTGTGCAATGGAAAGGGGAACTCCAGCCTTTTGGTTTGACATTCGAAGTTGAGTCAGCACAGACAGAATCTGGCAAGAGGATCGCAGAGATCACAAGTCCTGCTGAACAGACTGCAGTGCCCATGTCTTCCGGGTCTTTAGTGCCGGACAAAGGAAGATGGGGGTCTGCAACCAAATTCAGAATTTGAAAAGCAGTAGGACCCCACTGCTTTTTCCACATAGACTCAGCTGCCCTGAGAAGGAAGCCTGAGGTTGGGGGGGTGCCTCCCCCTGATCACCACCCTCTCACTGAGCCTGGGCATCCTCAGAGCCTCCTGAACATGGGCAGGTGGTGCTGAGAGTAGCCTGTGAAACAAGACCTTCACCCACCCCTTGCTGAGAACTGATGGGGAACAGCACCTGCCTGCACTGGGGTGTTAGGATCAATGGGAAGCCAAGGCAGGGAGGACGAGGAAGATGGGTGTCACCCACTGACTCAGCAGTCCTGCGCCTGGTCCAGTTCCATTGCCAGGTGTTCCAGCATCACAAGAAACACCATGCTAACACGTTGAAATTGTAGGTATTATTTCCACTATCTGTGAAAGAAAGGCTTTCAAACTGTATTCATCCCAAGGCCTGGAATACTGGAGAGAGTCCGCAGCACTCACGGAAAGGACCCACAAAACAAACTTGGTTAATTCCTTCTCTCCACTATGTGTTTTATGAGAGAATCTCTAGTGCTTACAGAAAGAGCCCATTGGTAACTTTGGGTAACTGCCTCAACTTAAACTCTCCTGTTAGGGGTCTATTTTACAAGATGGCCAAGTGAGGTCTGAAGCAAGATAAGGATTCAGGCTAACGACCCCCACACATACCTACGTTTGGATAGTCCATCCCCTAGTAAGCTGGCACCACTTTTACCCACCAATCAATATGTAAGTTCTTCTCTCCCCCCCATCCCACAACTGTATATAAGTCCTCAGGACAAAGGGCCTGGTGCTCTTGCCGCCCAACTTCTTGCCTTTCACTCCCATCTCAGCAAGACCTGTCCTCTTCCATGAGAACGTATCACTGATAAACCCAGCTTGCATGCTAATGCACTTGCTGATCTGTAATCCTTTACTGCATTGGCAAGAAGGACCGAGTTTCTCCCGGGACAGGTGCACCCAGTCTGCATGTGGCATTCACAAAGCCCACAACACAGCAGCTTCTGTAATGCACTGTCCTTGTACCTGGGCCCCACAGGCCTTCATACACCACTGACACCATCTCAATATTACTACTTATTGCATCTTTTTAAAAAATATTTTATTTATTTATCTTTAGAGAGGAAGGGAAGGAGAGAAGGAGAGAAATATCAATGCTTGGTTGCCTCTTGTGAGTCCCCTGCTGGGAACTGGCCCACAACCCAGGCATGTGCCCTGACTGGGAATTGAACCACGATCATGTGGTTCGCAGGCCTGTGCTCCATCCACTGAGCTACACCAGCCAGGGCTACTTATTGCACCTTTAAACTTTTGTTTGTGGGGTCTGATGGGATAATGGACGTGCACAATGTTGGTCATTCCTGGCCACCCGCTCCCACATAATGTGCACAATGGCCCAGGAGCACAAAATTCCCATGGACCCAATGGGTGGGAGTCCAGCAAGTCTCAAGGAGAGAACAGGGTAAACATCTACATCTATATAAGCAAGGGTGCTAACAATTCCCAGGAGTCACACTTTTCTTAGAACCAGAGCTGAGTTCAATACAGAGAGATGGTGAACAATCAGTGAGGACACCATTATAAGCTCTCCTGCATGAGGGACAGGACCTAAGTATGACCCACCCTGTTCTTGCTGCAGTGGGTTCACCAAAGGGGGACACCCACCCCCATGACCTGGAATGATGACCTTTCTGTCCTCCCAGTGCCAGGCTTATAAAGAAGAGTGTCTGTATAACCTATGTGGATTTCAATAATAAATATCCACTATTGTGTTCTTTTATTTTTTTTTAAAGGAAGGTGTCTTTCTTTGGTTTGGTTTCCCTTCCCTCTTTCTCCTCCCCCAACCACCACAGCGCAGAGAGAACACCATAAACTCGATATTCTTTCAGCATGGGGCATGGGAGAGGGGCAGAGTCCTGGTGTAATGCTGGCAGAGGGGCTGGTGCTGAAATACAGTGGGAAGGGAACCCACAGACTGCCACGTGATGCTCACCCCTCCCAACCAAGACAGACCCTGGAGCTCTCCCAGAAGGTTTAGCAGTTCAAGTTGAATAGACAGAGGTCTGCTCCCTCTCATTCCCCTTCAGCAGCAAACCACATTCCTAGTGTAGCTGCCAGCCTCCAAAGTGTCCCCCAAATGCACGTGCTGTCACCCCTACCCTTGTACAGTCAGTCCTTCCTTCACAGAACCAGGCTGATCTGTGTTGTGAAAATACAGTGTGCGGCTCTCAAAGCTAAGTCATAAACGGGCCCTTTTGTTTCAGCCTTGCTCACCTAGTTCACACTGTCTCAGACCACCTTGTGCGGGGAGCTGGGGATTTGCACACCCCTCCCTCCCACCTGCCAGCAGCTGGCTGCCATTATCCTTCTTTGAAGAGGAGGCTCCGAGGAGTGAGTGTAGCCTGGCATCTACTGGATTCTGAGTCTCTTGCCCTTGACAGGCAGCTGAAGTCACTGTCCTGTCTCCATGACACCTGGTTTGCCTCCAAGGCCACACTAAGCTACACCTGCTGGCTTCCCAACTTCCCCACAGGACACTATGATCGACCTGGGTGGGGCAAGTCAATAGTCCTTGGGCAAAAACGACATCAGTTGCTGAGGCTACAGGATGGGATGGCCACCTGCCTCCATCACACATTTTGACTCTGTGACTGCAGTGGTCACTGCAGCTGTGGCCAGTCCCACCTGGTTTATGTTCTAATTGTCTGCAGCTGTGGGCTGGCTTGAGGGGGTCACTCACCAGAATGGTGAGCCACTAACACAGAGCAGCTCACTGCCTTCCAAGCTGGGGTCAGGTAAGCCTTTCTGAAATTTGGCAGATTTGTCTTGACACCCAGACCCTGCCCTGTCTGTCTCGGGCCTGGCCCTGGTCCTAACTGCCCTGCAAAGTTCCTGACCTGGCCTCTGAGAGCTGCGCTTGGGGAAGTATGTTACCCACAGATGCTGTCTTCCAATAGCAGACTTCTTAAAAGTCACTAAAAAAGGCTTTTTAAAAAATAATTATTTAGAGCAAAAGATTGTTAATCTTATCACCTGGAGAAAACTGCCGTAACACCATGAAATTTGCCCTTTAAGATCTTTGGCAGACTCTCACACTTGATGAGAACAATATTGTTTTTTCTAACAACATGCAGTCATTGTTTTTAAAAAGTGAGTTTGGGAAATACAGAAAATAAAAGCACCCATTATTTCATAATCCAGAAGGCACACCAATTAGCACAGCCAGTTAGAGCTTGTGTGAACGCGCACATGGGCGCACCTGCAGTTTCCTTTACAAACGGTACGGAGCCCGTCTGACTTCCTCAGCAGCCTCTTTCCCTCCCACACGCCTTGAACACCTTCCTCCAGTTTCCACAGTTTCACTGGGTCCCACATCCCTGGGCTGAGGTTGCACCAAACCCCCTTGTTGGACCAGAATGGTGTTTCCAGGGAGAGTCTGTACAGCACACGTCAGCCTAGTTCAGTGCAGACGTGAATGTGCAGTGTGTGCCGTGCATTCAGGGCCCAGGAAAGCTCTCCAGTGTCCTGCATTTAAGGGCACAGCACACTCCACCTTCAGGCCTCACAGGATGTCAGCGTCCTCCTCTCAGCCTTCTTCTCCTGAGGAAGGTGTTTCAAAATCCTTGAGGCCATGGTGGGGGTGGGGACACTGCTTTCTGGGGAGCAGAGGAGAAACATGACGGCTGAGTGCTGGCTCTCAGGCGGGACCACGGGCATTGTCCTCTGTGCCCTAGCCTACTTCTCTTTGGTTTTGCAGCTTTTTGCCCAGGTGATGAGGGCCCCCAAGATGCCTCAGACGCTGTGGTTGGTTATAGAAGGTCAGGAGGCAGCAAACCCAAGCCCCTCCCACAGGTCAGGGTGGTGCTGACAGCCGCTGGGCTTACTAGACAGTTGGCTTGTGCTCTAGTTTCTCTCCTGTTGTCCTTTTAGGAAGCTCTGTCTGGGCACCAGATGGACTACTGATGTTCCCCAATGGCCCCTTTGATCTCAACAGGCAAAGGAGAGACTGGGCTACCCCTCCCATCTACTTCCCAGAGAATGACTGAGACCCATTCCCAAAACTGTAGGTCAGGAATTGACAGACCTAGGCAGGCCTAGGAGGAATGGAAATTCACCAGGCAGGAAACCGCCTGCCAACCCTACCCAGGAGGAACAGATGCTCAGCTAAGATTGGGATCTGGGGTCGGTCTATGGTCTATCCGGCACAACCTGAGGCTGGCATAATCTCGTCAGCCTCAGAATGCAGATTTAACCTGAGGCTGACAAGATGTATCAAGAACAATGGTCAGCAGAAATGGCACCCAGCCACCAGCACTAGCCAGTCAGACTCTGACACCCGAACCAGTTACTCTTTGTGGGTTTTTGTGCTTAAAAACCCTGCCCTAAGAACAACGGAGCAAGTCCCAACCTCCCTTGGCTGGCTTGACTTTCCCCCACTAATAAACCCTGCTCCATAGCTTTCCATGTCTGGTTTCTTGAATGACTCCGACCTCATAGGAATGGTCAAGGGCAAGCTCTGGTCTCATTCAAGGAGTCCCGCTGAGAACACTTAGACTTGATGGGGATTGTTCTCTGCAGGTTCTGTTCCTGCGTCATCTCCAGATCAAATAGAACAAGGACAAGAAAGTCCAGGTTTCCTACAGCATCATTGGTCCAGGCTCTGACCCATCTCTTTTCTTTTTCTTTATCCTCACCCAAGGACATTTTTTGGTCATTGCTTTTAGAGAGAGGGGAGGGGTTGAGAGAGAGAAACATTGATGCAGTGATTGGTTGCCTCCCGTACACATGCCTACCAGGGATCGAACCCTCAACCTAGGTACGTGCCCTGACTGGATTGGAACCCTCAACCTTTCAGTTACAGGACGATGCTCCAACCAACTGAGCATCTGGCCAAGGCTGACAAACCTCCTTAGGTGTTTGTTGTAAGAAGGGAAAGTCGGTGGCTGCAGGTGACAACAACCCTGGACGGGGAGAAGCGATTGCACTGCTGTGTCTCCTGTGTGGCGTCAGGGGGGTCTAGAACCAGGGGTGACGGCCTCACTTCCTAAACACCTCAGAGAGCCCCTCGTCTTGTGAAGTCATTCGTGACACATTTGTAAGCCCCTTTCACATTCCAGGGGCTGCACACGGTTCAGAGGGTGGAGGTGGGCAGAGCTGGGTGCAGACCTGAGCGGTGTGCGTCATGGACAAGCTCTGGGCCTCGCGGGGCGGGAAGGTTACAAGGCAGGCCAGCCTCTGAGCTCAGAGTAGACAGCAGCAGCTGAAAAGTAAATGAAACTGAAAATTCCGCATGAAAGGTCATTCTGATGGGCTGATCTCCAGTCCCCCTCACCTGCCAGTGGCAGCCACTGCTGTTTTCTCCCCCTTTTCCTTCCTTTTCTGTCATCGTGACGGCTTTGTCCCCACAGCAAACCCCTGCTCCCAGCCAGCACCAACTGTCTCCTGATGACCCCATGAGGGGAACAGCCACCTCAGGTTCATTCATGGACCAAACTCCAAAGACTTGGTTTAAGCGACCAGGACTCACTCCCCCCACCCAGCTCTCCCCTCTGGCTTGTGAGGCCAGTGTCCAGACAGGATGCCACTGACATTGTCAGGGAACGAGGGATGAGGACCTGGGAGCAGTGGGACAGGTAGAGTGATGAGACCTGGGACGGCCATATGCCCTTCCCTCAGGTCCCTGATAGTTTCATGTTAATGAGGGACAGTGTTCCCACAGCTACAGCCACGTCAGAAGAAAGCCCCAAATCTTTCCAAGTGAGTGAACAAACAACCATGAAATCGCTGCAGTCGTGCAGTGGACTGTACTGCCGTCTGCACAGTGAGGGGACTGAAACGGGAGCACGTTGCACTGTAGACTGCTGTGCTGCTTTTGTTGCCATGCTGGTTGTCAGCTGTTGGGATGTCAACTCCCCTCCACGTTCCCCTGTAGGCACCACCAGGATGCAAGTGACAGCAATGGACACAGCCAACAACAAGAACACCTACAACGTAGCCACGGCTCTCACCACGGTGCCTCAGCACAGCACGCTCACCATCAACCAGCACACGGGCATCGTCGCTGTGCTCACTTCAGGGCTGGACTGACGGGGTCGGGGGCAGGAGGGGCCACTGTGTGCGGTGGGGTCCATGTATATTTGTCCCAGCTGGTGAGCACAGACACCAGCCAATCAGAGCAGATACCAGCCAATCAAACCAGACACCCGCCAATCAGAACAGACTCTTAGAACATGCACCAACCAGTCAGAAGGGGCACCTGCTGCAGACTGGGTCCTGGTGGTGCCCACAGGCTGACTGAGCCCTGAGCACAGTAAGCCCTAAGGAATCACCACAGCACATCAGAAATGTGCTCACGAGGACTTCCGCCAAGATGGAGGCATAGGTGGATGTGCCGTGCCTTCTCACACAACCAAGTTTAGAGACAACTCAATATTAGCAACAGAAAACACAGCCAGAACACAGAAAATTGAACTTTTCGGAAGTCTGTTAACAACAAATTCTTCAGCCTGACCTGTAAGGGGCGAAACCAGCAGCTGGTGGAGCGGGGTTGCACAGGAAAACTCGGTCCAACGGACTCAGGCGCGCGGAATCCAGGCGCAGGGTTGGACCTAGTGAGCGACCGAGCGAGCGACCAAGTGAGCAACCGCGGGGAAACAGCGAGGGAGCAGGGCTGCGGGTTGACTGTGGTCGCGCATTGGTGCGCGGATAGACAAGCGAGGGAGTGGGCGGTTG